ACAAAGGCAGCACCAATTAGGTCTAAAAAGTTGCCGCTAAATGAGAACAATGTCTCTTGGAAAGCAGAGACCAAATTAAAGTTGCTTGGCTTTAATGCAGAGCATCAGGTTTGGACAAAAACAAACAGCTCATACCAATAATCAGATAAGATGGTGGAAAGGTGAGAATATAGGCTTGATTTTCAGCCGTGGGAACTTGGCACCTGACTAGAACTCCTCTGTTTACCAAAGTATTCTATAGTAAAACAAATCCATGTGTCCAAACCTGCAGCTTGACCCAAACTTGGTCATTGAGATGACAATGACACAAGAGCAATATATGTTTTGTTCAAGGATTGAATAGATGGCTCAGTCAAAGTCTAGACCTCAACCTGATTATGATGCTGTGAACCACAAAAACCAAAAGATCTTCAGACCTGAACGAAATGCAGCAATGTTTTATAGAGTGGTTGAAAATTTACTCACCTTGATATGAGAGGCTGATGGTCAAACGGAAAATCACACCTGAGAGCTTTTGCAATCAGGATCTATAAAATTTTTTTAGTGTGCAGGTTTTGGACTTCCGGCTTTTTGCTGCTCAGAATGTTAAAACTCATTTAAATGTGTAAACAAGATAGAAAAAAAAAATGAAATACTGTCTTCTTAGATAATGTTGAATGATGTTAAAAAGAGAGCTTTTAAGAAGATATTAAACTAAAATATAAAGATTTTTGTGTTTGTGTAGCTAAACTCTACAAAGGATATTTTAATGACCAACAACAGCGGAAAGACTGAAGACCCTCCTATTGAGTCGTAATTTAATGCATAAGAAACATCAGTTACACATATTGATATCAGCTGCAGCAAGCCTGCTTTGCATTTCTAAGACACAGGGCAAATTACCTTTTGTCATTCTGCAGCACGATTGCTGTATGATTGAACAATGCATGCAGCGTCTCCCTCCTTGTGCAATCCTCATGTTTAAAACATATGTTGCTAATAATCCGTGTGTAGGTTATATAACCACAGTCTGAAGCACCTATTGAAACATCCTGCTGTTCCCTGGATAACTGTGACATATTGCAGAATAATGACTCGCCAAGATAACAGCAAAGGACATCGGGAGAAAAATCTGAGCTGATTGCAAAAGAGCTTAAAGTGAAAATTTATGACACATAATGAGGTGAATAAACAGATCACCCACTAGTAAAAGTAACTCCTATATAAATGGTAGCTTCAATTCTTTTCAGCTTTCCCTCCGGGAATAATGCTTTTTTTTTGCGTTTTTTGCTGCTGCTCATATAAATATCTACGAACATTGACAACTGATGATGATACAGCGCTCACTGCTTTTATGTGATTCATTGTCAGTGCAAACGGTCATTGTTTTTATATGAGACAGAAGTATTAATCGTGCAGGTGAAAAAAAAATTAAAGCGGTGACTAACGAGGATGTGGGAGTGCTGGTGGCTTTTTGTTGGATCAGCGTGGGCTGTGGAGCTAAGAAGAACAGGGGGAAACGATTATAAACATGTAATGGAGCTGGATGTGTCTGATCATTTCTCCAGTGCTGTCCAAAATACTACAGGAAGTTGATGAGGGGCAGTGATAGAGCTATGAAAACATGTTTTCCCATTCCAGTTTTATTTACCTTTTCCCCTACTCTTGGATATTTAGATTACCACAGAGATTTTGATAGAAATAACAGATAATGGAAGTAAATCTATTGGAAAAACAGTTGTTCAGGTATTATTGTGTTTATTAGAGTAATAATTATCAACCCTTATGAGGCAAAATAACAGACTGAACATTTTATTTGACAGGGAAGCGTTTGAAATATAATTGCCACCAAATATTACATTCTAAATAGCTGTGTGGCATTAATATTGTATAAACTACAGTCTAATGTAGAAACAGTTAAATTAGTTCTATTGCTCTTTATATTCAGCACCAATGAATCATACTGTACCTGGTTCTTTTGCCTGTCATGTGTCAGGTTTTACACTTGAAAAAAAGTGTTTAAGATATTCTGTCTTCATCTGGAAGAAGGGCTTAACATCAATAGAGCAACACCTCAATAGGAGAAAATGTTAATCCTCTTTCAGCTCCTTAATAATAAAGGTGCTCGTTGAACCCTTTCTGTGTTTTCTGATGTGTTTGACAGTGTAAAGAAGCTGCTGACAGATGCCCTGAACAAGAACCAGTACCTGAGGAGGCTGGAACTGCAGCAGATCAAAGACATGGTGGAGTGCATGTACGAGTGCACCTACCAGCAGGGAGAGTATGTCATCAAGCAGGGAGAACCTGGGAACCATCTATTTGTTCTAGCAGGTATGTTTGTCCTCACAGCATCTGGAATGTTACCTTCCCTGCATCTTTCTATCATATTTATAAATCAAGAGTGCTCGATATATGCGCATTAATATCGGTATTGGCCAGTGTCATTCAGTTTTCAGAATATCGGTCCGATAAGTAAATATAGGCAGATATTAGCAACCAATGTTTACTCCCATGTAACTTTCCCTTTAGGAGGAGGAGAGTAGGGGTTTGGTTGTGAGGTATTTGTCTGGTCATGTGACAGTGATTGTGAGGCAAAGGGTTGAAAAGTATATGATTTAGAATATCTGTAAATACCTTTATCGGCTGTAACCGTATTTTAATATCTGCCCAGATTTTCATATCGATGCATCCCTGTCAATAATTGTAACAGCGTTGTTGTCAGTGCAAATTATTCCTTCTGAAGATCCCGTGAATCTCAACAGAGAAGAAGTTGTGGAATAGATCATTTCTGTTGGCTAAAAAATAAAAGGGCAGCAGTGAAGCAAAAAATTACAAAGTTTAGTCTGTGGACTTTGTTCCTCAGAACTATTTAACATGCAGTAAAAAGATTCAGGAATCTTTAGATTTCACAAATAATAAGTAAGAAACAGCAAATTATTGCAGGCAGGGATTCCTCAGTACCAACACTTACCACAGACACAGACAATCAAAGTCTCCCCCTGAAGATACCTGGTCAAATATCAACATAAACTCACCTCTCATTTGATCTTAATAATTATCTCCTAAGAAGCTGTGATAAAAAATATATATTTTAAAGCAGATCTTTGGGGTCACAGATAAAGGTCATGGAAGTACACCTCAATATGAAGTTTGATGCTCCCTATGGAGATAATGGATGTTAAAGAATGGTAAAAACAAAAGAGCAGATATTCCAGTTTTCATCACTAAGCTAGTTTACAGCACATACTATCTGTTGGAAGTTTATGACTAATGTGTAATTATACTGAATGAAATGAATTGAATACAAAACAATCTAATTAATTTCACCACAACCTATATTAGTGTGTTAAGAATCAGTTACACATTGAGCAAATTCAGTTTATCATAAAATGCTAGTTGGTAAAGTAATCTTAGTAGGCCTTTAGACTCCAGAATGTTTGGTATAAGACACAGTTTGCCTTAATTGATTGGTAGTTAAGAGGACAGAAGAAGAAGGACAGAAAGGAGAAGTAAAAAAAAAAATAAAAAAAAAATTGATTGGGTCTACAGCACATTCTAGGGAAGAGACTTGGAACACTGCACATTGTTATTGGCATTAACATCCTCATCTGGGGGTCTGATTCCTCTATAGCAGGGGTCTTCAATGTTTTCCAGGCCAAGTACCCCCAAACTGATGGCAGGATGTAGTGGGGATCCCTAATTATATATGTTATATGAAATTGTGTTATATCAAACGGCTCCTATAGTCCAGTCTATTACAGATGGATTAATGGGGATTGATGGGACAGGTGTTGTGAATGAAACGGTGCCCAGCTTGAAAGAGCTCCTATGTGTCGCTGAAGTTATGCATTGATGACTGAAAGACATCTTCTGCCTCAAGTACCTACAGTGTGCTGAATTATGCATAGTATCTTTGCTGTTCCTATAACTGCTCTTTTCTGGACCGCGATGTCTGATGTATTTCCAGGGATCTGCTGTAACCACTCCTCAACTTTGGGGGTTACTGTAATCATCCCGAGTGCCCCAATGACCACGGTCACCACTGATGACTTGACCTTCCAGGTTTTCTCTAGCTGTTCTCTGAGCCCCTGATATTTCTCTAGTTTCTCATGTTTATTTTTCCTTATGTTGCACTCACTTGGTATTACTATGTCAACCACAACGGCTTTCCTCTGCTTTTTGTCCACCACCACAATGTCCGGGTTGCTTTGCCATTACCATTCGGTCCGTCTGTATCTGGAAGTCCCACAGGATCTTTGCTTGATCGTTCTCTACCATCTTTGGAGGTATTTTCAACTTTGCCTGTGGAGTTTCCAGCCCATACTCTGCAGTGATGTTCCTGTACACTATTCCAGCCACTTGGTTATGGCCTCCATGTAAGCTTTCCCTGCCAGCATCTTACACCCTGCAGTTATGTGCTGGATTCTTTCAGGGGTCTCTTTGCACAGTCTGCACCTGGGGTCTTGTCTGGTGTGGTAGATCTGGGCTTCTATTGCTCTGATGCTCAGGGCCTGCTCCTGTGCAGGAATGATGACTGCCTCTGTGCTGTCCTTTAGTCTGGATTTGTCCAGCCATTGGTAGGATTTCCTGATATCCACCACTTCGGTTATGTTTCGGTGTTTCATCCCGTGTATGGGCTTATCCTCCCATGACTGAGCCACCAGCACCTCATCTTCTGTTCCCCATTGTCTAAGACATTCACTGAGCATGTCGTCTGTTGGAGCCTTATCCTTGATGTACTTATGGATCTTGGATGTGTCATATTTTATTTTCCTATCTCAGAGGTGTGTTTATTCTGGCTTTTTCCAATGTATATCTCATCTTTGAGCCACTACCTGCAAGTATTTTCCTCTAGTTTATGTTGTTGTTGCTTGTTCATATTTTTGTTGGAATAAATCAAAGATTCTTTTCATTTTTTTTTCTTTTCAGATGGAAAGCTGGAGGTGTTTCAGCAGAACAAACTGCTTACATCAATAGCAGTGTGGACCACGTTTGGGGAGTTAGCCATCCTGTACAACTGCACACGAACAGCATCAGTCCGAGGTGAAGAGTTGTCTTTGCAGATACACTGATTGTTGTGCTACCCCCAGAGTGAGCCCTCTGGGGGTAGCACTGTGACAGGCTGGATCAAACATATTGTGTCCTAACAGAACAGCTTGGGCCATTTGGTTAGCAGACCTATTTCCAAATCGTCTATTTAAACCTGATCTTTAAAGTTTGAGGCTCTGAGCTTAAAGAAGTTCACCCAGAATCGACTCTTAACAACAAACATGGATTAAATAAGTATTAAGTCTTAAATGCAAATCTATTATTAAGAAAGATAAAAAAATAGCTTTTAACCCTGTCTTCCCCATCTATAATTAGATTTCTAGTGTTCTGTGCTTTCTAAATGCACTAAAACGGTTTAAACTTTTTATACTACAAATTTGACACACTTGACAAACTCAGGTATTTTACTGAGGTTTTATCTGATAGTTTTCTCATTTTTACATTCAAAATACTGAAAAGTGAGGGACTATCATGTTCAGACTCATGGAATCAATACTTTGTGAAGGTTACTGTACTGTTCATTGTGATTCCAGATAGTTTGTCTTCACTATCTTTGCACTTCTGGACATGGAAGTATTTACCCAATGTTATTTAAAGAACAGCTCAAACACAGCCAAATTTTACATTTTTCCAAAGATTGAAATGGGACATGGGTCTGTATATTGAGTTGCTCAAATGAAAATAAAAAAAGAGCATGCTTTGATGCAGCTGTATCTTCCCCAGTCTCAAAACGCAGCACTTCTAAAACCTATGTTTCACCTTTGATGATCCCGATGCATGTTCTCACACTGTGCAGCCCGACGCTCTGATGCGATCTACCTGCTCACATTGCACATCCAAAAACTACACGTCGGACTCAGCGCCGATAGATGGCGCTGGTTGGACTCGTCAATCTGGATGGAGAAGAAGCAGAACTCACTTGTTTGCACAGGCATAGTGCTCGAGGTTCTGGTCAATCAGCTCGTAGAAACTCATAGCTCTGCTTCAGCAGCAGGGTTTGTCCATAAGCACCTTACGACAGCCGACTAATTTTCGAACATGTTTAATTTTCTCCCGATCTTATGATTCCCGATCGGGAGGTGGTTGTTAGAGTCTAATCGCCCCTCGTTACCCCCTGCATACTACACGACACAGGACACACAATGAGGCTGAAACTCGGCCCAATTGGAAAATTCTTGCATGATTGTTAGTTTTTTCTCCAAACAATCTAACAGCTGAATTTAAATTGTGATAAGAAAACACACTGGCAGTCTCCTAAAGGCAGTTGGTTGGTCCTGATTTTGATGAAGGGAATTAGAGCAATAGGGGATGAATTCAAATTCACGCCACTTTTTTTCAGAATTTTATTTGAAAGTTTTTATATTAAAAAAATCTGATTTTAACCAGGGTTCAGTCAATTCTATTATCTCTGATATTTCCTCAGCTCCATCAACTTGCTAGTCCATCTTGCAACTTTCTTCTAAACATTGTTAAGTCTTGCTGATGCTACTTTGCTTTCCTATTGTTTTTCTGATTGTTTGTCAATTATATTACCATGACTTACTGCTTTTTATGTGATTTTTATCAAAGTTATTTTTGGTTTTCTGGATTTTAGTTAAACAATAGATTTTTTTAATTTTTTTTTTTTTTTTACAACACATACCAATCCTGTGTTTCCAGAGGACGGATGCTCTGTCAGCTGATCACAGTCTTCAAAGTTTTGAGTCTCACACAACTTCTAATCTGCCCTAAAAAAAACCAAAACAAAACAAAGAAATATTAACATCCTCTTTAAAAGTCCAGATCTGCATCTGCTTGTAGTTTGTCTTATTTTTTGACATTTTACCAGAACACCACTAAGATGTATAGGTACAACCAAGCATTCTACCTGCAGTAACACTTGTCCCTGGTGGAAATATTTGATAGGCAGTCAGCTAAATCAGTTTTTTCTGTAATAGATTCCTTAATAAAAAAATTAAAAAATACAGTTAAAAATCCTATTGTTTGGTTCAAAATACACAAATGAAAGAGTTTCAGAGTCGTGTGATAAAGAGGTAAATGCATAAAATGTTGTCACAGCAATTTTATTAACTGATTATTGTTTATCAATAGCTTCCAAGACAAATAAACAATAATAAAAAGCTTTACACTTAAAATAACAAATTTGATATGAAACTATGTTAAAGTAAAGCTACAAATATAGAGAAAACATATTGGACCATCATCGCCTTAAATGTCTTGTTTTAAATGTCTTTTATCTGAAAAATAAAAAAAGTGCTCTAATACAATGGAAAAAAATTAAATCTAGATAAGTAATTTCTTCTTAAAATAAGTGCATTTGTTCTTGGTTTGCGGAGGTAAAATAGACATTTTGCCAATGGAACAAGACAATTTACATTAAAAATAAGAAAACACAAATGCATTGTCTTATTGTATTTTAAGTGAATTACATCTAATTATCTTATTTCAAGAGTAGAAATACTTATTCTATTTGCAAACTATGTCATTTACCTAATCATATTTAAGACTTTTTACCTATTTCTAGATTGTTTTTCCAGTGTATTTTGTATCCATGACTGTAGAGCAGGATATGCAAGGTCAGGATGGCTGGTTTGTTCTAAATCATATCCTTAAGTAAACCTTTAAAATACTTATGAAAGTCATCTGACTTCCTCTAAGCTCTTTTTCTGACTTCTTAAAGCTCTGGGAAACTGGAAATGATGAATTGGTATGCTTTTTCCCTGGTTGTGTTGACACAAGCTTTACATGATACCCACAGTGCTGCATCCTGATTTCTTTTGACCTCCTTGACATGTGAGAAGTAAAACACCATGTACTGTAGATCTGTTCGTTTATGTTTGTATATATAACCAATTACTGGGGAACCTGTGGACCTTCAGGAAGGTGCGACCTCAATGTTCTGGGAGAACTGGAAAGACTCTGACAGTTTGGCTCAGCAGGATAACAGATCTAGCAGAAAAAGCGGTGGAACATTATCTCTGCTACTGATTCATGTCAAACTGTCACAGTCACTTCCTCCTTCCTGAGGCAATTTATGCTTCTTTTTATAGCTGTGAACAAAGTGAGGACGTGGGCTTTGGATCGGGAAGCGTTCCAAAATATCATGAGGAGGACGGCTGAGACACGACACGAGCAATACCGCAACTTCCTCCGAAGGTCAGACTCAAGGCTGAGCCAGAGAGTTAACGTCATCTGAAAAATACAGCTCTGAGAGGTTAAGTTGTGGCCAGAGGGTGCAATACATTCATCACAGCCATGCATTAAATCTTTAATTGGACTTTTAATTATCTTGTAAATCCCATCATCTTACCTAAACAGAACCATCCTTGTTCCAAAAACAACACTTTAAGTTTGATTTTGAAGTACAGCTAGATTGACGAGACAGATGTTATTGGCTTCAATTCAGTGGTCCAACACACCTGAATCAAATACTTCCTCAGGAGGTAGTTAGGTTTTAATGTCCCACTAATGGCCTTATTTAATTGTGGTATATTTAGATAGAGAAGTATAAACAAGTTGATTACTGTCTTTGAGGACTCATGTTTAACTGTCTGATTTTTTTTGGGCATCAAAATGGTGGCTAAAAAAGGCCTATGCTGAGGTTCCGCTTTCTAAGAGACATTTAACCAAATTCTGCTTATGTACGTATGTATTTGAATATCAGTTAGTCCAATGAATCTGTCATACAAACGATTTTAATGCTGTTGAGTTGAAAATACTAGCTTCAATTGGTACATTTTAAAAGCCTCTAACATTTTTATTGTATAGCTGTCCCAGTCTGGAGCAAAGACGGTTCAAATTAATCCTTGTCAGAATAGAATGAACAGCATTTCCTGTTTGCGATTTGTGTATGAGCACTCCTGACTTCTGTTTATGAAGCTGCAACTTTAAAATAAATCTATGGGTTAACTTAGAATGTGAAGCCTATTTTTTCTGTTCTCTCTTTTTGGTCAGTGTTTCACTCTTGGCTAATCTACCCGATGACAAGCTAAGCAAAATAGTGGACTGCCTGGAGGTGGTAAGTTATTCTGTTAAACTATCTCCATTTCTAGTTGAAGGACAATTTGACTTTTACATAAATTGCACAACTCTTTGGCAGCTCCTGGGACTCAGGAGCATTGCAGATAGCGGCTGTCAAAATATCATTACCATTTGGCCATATACCATTACTGCATGTCAGCATATTCATTCTAGCTCTAGTTGGCAAGAACCCCCAGATTTACCTTGTTGATGAACGGGGCCGATATTCCTGTCATCGCCGGGTGCTGTATATTGTTACCCTAATTATTTGACTAAGGCCCCAGAAAGTGTTTATTCAAATGGGGGACGAGTGATTTCTTAAAGATGTGCCAGTGACAGGCTTTTGGTGTGAGATGACACAAGTGTGTGAAATTGTGTGCGTAGCTGTGAAACAAGCTGGAGAGCCGGGTTAACTCCGTCTTTTCCTGCAGAAGCATCATATTTCAGCTTCAAAAAGGCAAAAACGGAGCAGAACCTGTCAGCGTCGGGTCAAAAAATCTGCTTTTCTCAGCATCTTTTCAGTACAAACTTCAAGGACATTTGTTACATTGGTTGATTATCCCACTACTCTCAAGTGTGGGTAAAATTCTTCTATTCAGACATTTGTTATTGACATTTGTTATTGAAGCATTCTGCCTGTCAGGGGGCCAACTGTAACCTGAGAAAGGAGCAGATGTTCACAGAGAATCACTACAATTCTCTGTGAACATTTAGAATTTCTTTTTTTTTTTTTTGGAGAAGGAGAATTGTCAGTGAATGGAATCTGGTGTGTTTCACTTGTATCTGTGTGTATGAAAAGGCATCCAATTAACATTTAAGTAATCCCTGGGAGGTAATTTGAATTCTCAAAAAATAAATTTGATTTTTAACTCAGTTTTTATTTAAAAAAGTGTTTTGAAGATATGATGATTTCAGTAGAACGACCATAAATACATATGACCTGTTTCCTTAATATCTGCGTCTCATTTTTGTTTGTTTTTTTCACAACAACGGGGTTTGTACACAGCGATTTTGTAGATTTCTCTTTCTAAACATGATTATTATCTCTGTCAATCCATTTCTCTATCTATCCAATTAAACTACCCAACTGTTAACCTGAATATATTTCTAATTCTGCCCTTTTACAAGTACGTTTATCTAACAAATGCAGAGCACCCTACAATATCTGATGTACAATAGACAAAAACAATAATTGTAATAATGAAACAATATGGCAATAGAATAAAACCTGACAGGCTGCAGCTGAGCTTAACAGATACCCAGTACTGAGTTTACAGCAAAGTGCGTTTAAAATTTTGAGATGGAAATGAACATTTCCATCTCATAAAGTGCAGCAGTGATGAAATGTAAACAGTTTGGGAGAAAAAAACATGGTGCAAAACGCATTGATATGGAAGTTCAGAGCGTTAATATAAATGGTGCAAATATGCAGTTTTTTAGTTTGGTGTTATTAGTGTGATGCAGTCTGTGACTTGATTTAGAGTTTTTATTAACAGTTAAACAGTTGTAATGAAAATTTAATTATGGATAGTTGAATTCTTTTACAAATCAGAATAAGTAATTGCACCGAAATTTATAAAACTATATTTTTAAAGGAGATTGTAGTTTATTTTATAAACTACAACATTACAACATAACAATTGTAATATACGGCAGTTGACTTTTCATGTGGTGGAGTGCACAAAAACCTTTTTTAAAAATAGAGCTGAATGATTTTGCAAAAAATTCAAATGGCTATTTTTATTAACCAATATTGTGATTTTATTTTGATTTTTTCTTTGCACTAAACACAAGAATGTAAAAGTTTCTCTTTATGGTTTCATTGCTTTCATGATCTTAAAGGCTTGATTTTTCAGATTATATTCTCACAAGACTTTATTGTTTCTGTTGTTTGGAAAAGTCCTAACTTCTACTTACATGCATTGATCAGCATGCTAGCTGCAACTCTCTTCCTTTTTGTGTGGTGGGAAACTCACTTTAAACTTTTTACCACCACATTAAAGTAGAGATGCACCAATCCAGTTTTTTTCAATACCTGGGCTAAGCATATCTGATACAGATCAGATTCAACAGTTGAATAAAAATGAACCATATGACTCAGCATGTGAGCAAAGGTCGTAGCCTTGACATAAACATTGTTAATAAAGGAACAAATTAACAAAGATATAAATGTTCTTCATAGTATTTCCAAACAAATAAAGAGCAAAATGACAGAAATAACAGTTCCATGTAAAGTGCACTGGATTGGATCTCCAATATCCGATATCAAATTGCTGTTATAAAAGGGAACAGTTTATCCAAACTTTGCTGTAACACACCCAAACTAAGGTAGTTTACCTTCTTTTCTTTAGTGATTCAGACAGTTGGTAAAGAAAGTTATAGTTTCCAGACTGTATCTTACCTCAGATTCTGATCACTGTTATTGGTAACTCTGCCAGCGTTAGCTGAGGTTTTCATGATGACACAACTTTTATATTAGTGATTGGCTGGAAACACTGATGGCATATGACAAATTACTCAAGTGCTGAGTGTTACCTGTCTGACAACTCTTTTACGTCCCATTTTTAAGCAAAAACATCAACACTGACAATCTTTAGTTACCCTGCAGAGAAAAACAGCTGCTGAAGATCTGTGTAGTCTTAAAATTGGTTTACCCACACTTGAGTGCCTCTAGAAGACCACAGAGACATGCTGTTAAAATAAAAGCTGAGGCTAATCGATGGAAAGTCAGTTAAAATAACTGAGCTGCAGTCAAACCTAATATAGACACAGGAAGTAAAGTGTGAGTGTCGATGTACACCACTGACATAAGCAAACCAAATAAGTGGAATTCAGTAGTAGAGATTAAACAAAGATGGCGGACGTTAATGCTGTGGATGCTCAGATTACAGTATATTAGGAAATATCCATTTTTATGTTTCTTATTGATGATGTATTTTTCTTCTAGGAAAATTTAGCTTATTTAAAATTCTGAGTTTGCAGTCTGTTACAAAAAACCCAAGACAGAGCTCAGATGCTGTCCATCCACTGAACAGCTTCTGTATCATCCGGACAGGCTCTATAAACAAAACCTTGGCATGTTGTCTCCGCTGTCACAGCCTGGCGTTAAACTAGGCTCTCCTGAAGCGTAAACGGGAGGTAAACAATTGAGGACGCCCAAGGAAAATGCCACTTGTGTCAAGAGCTTTGACAGTAAACACCGGGGAATGTTTACACAGGGTTGCTATGATTTTGTTTCGACAGTGTCCCATAAAGTCAAAAGGATTACATCAGTGGACCATGTTCTCACCTGCTCCAAGTTGGCATTGATCCCAGAGTGTATTTCATTCTGGTCACCATATTTCTGCTTTTTGCACACTTTTACTTTTACTTCAGATGTTTTACAAAGTAAATGAATCTGTTGATTTGGCTCACCTGTTTAGAAAGACAATTTATAGGTACTGACTCCAAAAGAAAAAAAGTATTTGAGACAAAAAGAAAGGGACAGAGAGTTAATGTCTCAATGTCAGTCAGTTTTATGAGTGACCTTAAATAAAACTAAACATTAAAACAACTCAAGAAGGACTCAATTTTTTTCCCAGCTGTAGATTTTAACAAAAGGGAAGTGTGACTGATCTTTTTACCTTATCAGGAGGTAAAATAACACTTTTCATTATGGGGTCACATGTTACTTGTTACTACGACTTCAACAGTACTCTAAAATGTTTTCACCAACTCTCTACTTGTCTCATTAAGTCTGTCTTCCTGATTTTGGTGTTTACACATGAAATAGCTCTTTGATAGATGGTTTCCATATACAGCTAAGGTCAGGCTGCAGCTGCATTTCACACAAAACAGAGGTGGATGGAGGAGTTCCAGAAACTGTTGTTTTACCAAAGTACCACATTCTTGCACATACCTGAGTTCATTAACAGTTAAATTTACTTCTTCAATACATACAGTGTAACAGTAATGTTATGATAGTGGAGATTAAACTTTAATTCTTAAACAGTATTCTAAATGTAATTAACAGATGAACATCTCAGGTTAAAGCTCAGGCTACTCGTCATCCATTTTGTTACCTACATGTCTTAAAGCCACACAATGGTTTATGTTAATAACAATAAAATCTTATTGTATATAATTTACAATTCCATCAGTCTATATACCAGTAAGGACACATTATTACAACCTGCCTAAATGTGCATTAGTACTCCATGCCATGTGACACAAACCTCTTCAAAACCCTAAAGGTTGATGCTGTGGTTTGTGGCACTAAGATGTTTTCAGCTGATATTTTAAGTCCTGCAGGTTGAGAGGAGGGTCTTAAGATGCCAGACATGATTTTATTGGATCAGGCGAACTCTGGGCCAAGTCAACACCACAGACTCAGTGTTGTGCTCCTCAAATGATTCCTGAGCCGTTCATGTTTTGTGGCAGGTACAGTAGTATCCATTTCCAACATGAGAGGTCTAAAACTATACATATATGGAACAGGTGGTCTAGGGTGTATGCTTACACGTTGTCTATCAGATGCAGAAATAACACCTTTGAGCAATTTCAGTTGCATTAGATCATCTGTTAGATCAGGCCACACAGGCCAACATATGCTCTCCACCTTGGAGATCTTCTGACCCAGTAACCTAGCCATCTTGATTTTTCCCTGTTCAAATTTACTCAGATCTCACATTCATGAATTTTCTTGGATCCAAAATACAGTTTTAACCTTGATTTATTTTCCTTCAGTGTTTCACTGTGTGTCTGATATACAAGGACATTGCCTTCATAATCTGTTACAGAATCATCTGCATAAAGGAGGATCTTTATATTTATATGCATAAAAATTTCTTAATTTAAATGTATTGTTATTGACAAAAACAAGCAACCCTCAAAATACTCTGTTTATATACGCTTACCGTATTTTCACGACCATAAGGCGCACCGTACTAAAAGGCGC